CTAGACCATGTGCATCATTACATGTAGACATGAACTAAGGCGCCGGGCATCAATAAAGTCAACTGGCGAACGTTCGTTATATAGAGCGTGGTAAAAAAGTTCTGCATAAAATTCATATTTTCATTAAACAATTTTTTTTCGAAAAACGGTGAAACCCGTCGATTTTTATTTGATCCAGGGCACCTTGTTATGTGGAAAATTATTTTTTTTTCGATAATCCACTTACGGCAGCGATGACATATTTTTTTTATTGACAACGCATTTTTTTTTCGTTCGAAATTGACGACAGTGATAATTATCTAAATAACGGTGTGAAAATTTCGATGTCTTACATAACAATTTTTTTTTAGAAAAATGCACCTTAAATTCTTATAAGTGATAATTGTCTACTTACACTATTAATGGCTCCGAAAAGGACAAAGTTGACAAAATTACATTTCAAACGAGTAAAATTACACTAATGTTTGTGTAAGTCTAGCGAAATTGTTCGAATTGCCCACCCTGTACCATTTGGCATTGTCCTAAGCGTGTGTAAACGCCGTCTACACTTCGTTCAAGCATTCCCGGGTCGATTTGATTTATTNGGAAATACACATGCCTCTTGCTTGCACAATAGCATGCAAGTAGCTTGCAGGAGATAGCTCCTGGTATGTGTATTTATTAAAAGGCATGCCTGTAGAAGGCGCGCAAGTAAATTGCACATCATTTGATTTTTTGGCATGCAATGTGAGGCGGGGGGTTTCGGGGGAGTTCAAGCGGCATGTCGGAACGTGTCTACTTGCTACCTACTGACATGCCAATATGCCATATACTAACGAGGCATTCCATTTTACTTGCAAATGTATCAGCAGTGTGCCATCCGCCGGCATATGCCATTTCTTAGCATGCTAGTTACTTACATATTTTACTGGTATGTGTATTTCCGCCTTATAGTATGTTTGGGCTTTACCAATAAATACATATAGTATTGTTAGTAAGGTGCGAGTTTTACTTCCTGAAAACAGAACGGAATCAACCCACAAATGAAATATTCTGAGACTAATTTTCAACGCCTATTTCTGTTAAGAGTGCAGGTCCATTCTCTGTGGAGTATATGTTGATTATGATAATCTTTGTGCTTCATATCCCACAGTGTAATGGAATTTTTCATACTGCTAATTAAAAGTTCAATAAAAGTGTTAGACATGACGAAAAACTCATCTAATTTTTGATTTATAAATGTAAACTGAAGCGGCAGAGGCAGAATTATCAAATAATTTGATCGCGTCGTCCGCATGAAAACCGCACGAGCCGCTTGCGCCGGGCGGTACCTCGTACGTAGGACAGAACCTATGATGCTCTAATTTTGAAAATCACTGCTTCGGCCGTTCCGGTCGCACCGGCGCGGCGGCCACACCGGCCGTTTGTCGCCACTTACCCAGGACGCCGTGTTAGGAAGGACACTGTTACCCTCGTGCGCATTATATCCATGTAGGTGCCTTAATTACTATATAATTTTCTTTTAATAAATTTCAATGATAGAAAACATAATGTACGACTATTTTATTTGAAAATTAAGGCGATTTAGCAAGAAATACAGTGGTTGAAGAAAATATGTAACATAGAGAAAAATTTTCAGTTTTGGGACTCCATTTTGTTTACATATAGATACATATAGCTACAAAAAATTCCAATTTCAGTTCACTCTTTTTATGATAATTTTATCGTTGTGATTTGATTATAAAAATATAAGTAAAGACCAAACTATTTGCCAAAGGTAAAAATATCCAAGGTTAAAAATATAAAACTGATTGAAAGAACGATATAATTGAAACAATTTAAATTGCTAGTAAACCTCTTTTGTTTTTCTTAGGTATTTAAGGGGTTACATGGGTTTCGAAGGTTAAAAAGGCATATTTTCTCTAATTTTCTATTTAATTTAATAAAAGAATTATTTAATTTTAAGCATATAAGAGCAACATTTAAACAATATTTTATAAAATTTTTATTTAAAAATTTTGAATTTATTCAGCTGTTGAGACCTGGTTTTTGAAGACCCCTTAGGAAAAAATATCCCGGCGTTGGTCAGGATAACTCAGGTTAGGTAGTCAGGATTTTTTCTACCAATGTTTGTATATTCTATAAACCAGTATTGTAATAACTGTAACAAATGTTTTATAAATAGTTATTGATTTATTAATTTGAGTTTTCAAGTTTAAAAGATCAAAAGATTTCGTTAATAAAAAAGTAGTTATTTATTTAACGCTTTAAAAGGCGTGTTTTGTAATTTTGAGCTATTGTGATGACGATGACGTGGTAACTAAAACAGAAGTCATTCATTCAGTTTCACGAACATCAGTAGTAGCCGGGAAAATGAACTTTTATGCAAATTTGCAGCAATATAATTAATATATTCTTTGCTTAAATTAAATTTGTTTTTGAAATAAATAGAATATTTTTTAAACGTGGATGTTAATATTTGAGGGCGATATTACTCAGAAGAAAAAATAGCCAATAAATGATATTAATGTCGATATTTAAGTACATAAAAATTAACGGATGAACGAACCATTTTTGAATAATGACTTGTTAATTTAAATAATCTAAGTTTACTAGGTTTACTAGGCAATTGAATAAATCGGCAGTAACTCTTAAACTACCAGTTTCATATAAATATATAGTCTATAGGACTTTTTTATATAATTTCAAATACAACACTAAATAGAAAATCCATAATTGCTACTACAATGACCTTCTTTTTGATTTCTAATATTAATCTTGTATGTGAATGAAATGTATAAGTATTTTTTTTTTTCAGTGAAATCAGTAGTTTTAGCGTTATTCACGATTTGTTTGACTATGTGGTAGGCCTTGAATAAAAAAAAATAACTTAAAAAAAGCAAGTTTTGTTTTTTATTAAAATGGGATATATCTACAACAAAATTATATGAATTCAAAATACTGACTTATTAAAAGTCTTATTGTATCTCCGTCACTGCTTGACGTAAGTTTATATAGATTTATCGAATTTTTGCTGCCGTTTAGTTAAATCACTGTCCCAAGTTTCATGTCTACTTCAAACATCTGCAAAAATATTTGCATAAATGTCACATTTTTCGAAAATTAAAAACTTTAATTCCTAATACTGATAGTGGATTGTTATAAAGCAGTGAACATTTCACTTTATTTTTCAGGTTATCTGACTGACACTCATAGTTCATTTCCATAAATTACTTTAAAAAATTTAACTTAATTTTGTATATAATTTTGTATTTGTGTCACGAATTTGTTAAATTAGAATAGAATGTCTTTTACCTATCAAAAAGCCTTTTGATTGAAATTTACGAACAGTAAATAAAAATTAAAAAATACTAAAATTATGGTTAAAAGAAATCCAAAATTTGCACAAGATAATAAAACACATTTCTAATAGCTGTTTAGATTGCAAATTTATTGATGAATAAATTGACGAAGTTCTTCATAAATTAATTCACGAATTTATTGGTAAACAGTGTGGTTTTACACTGCTACAGACTTTGTCAAGTTTTTTAACACATGAATCAGTTCTACCAACGAATCAAAGAAGCAAATTAATTTCAAAAATGTCACCTTTCCACTCATAATTGTAGTGATACAACAGCGGTACGTTTTGACACATATCACATAAATATTAGTGTTTGCAAGTAACAAATCAGTAAAAACAATGCAAAACTAGTACGACGCCACACAATTATTTACATATTCCAATAACATAACCTCATTACTGATCTGAGGCTGGAAATCTGTTGGGTTGGCACTTCCGAACTTCACGAAGAAATTGACGAAAATTAGAACATGCTCTAATTCGTCCAGCACTTGATTAATAAATTCATGAAGTTATTTGATAGCTGATTTGGTGCATTACACTTGTCCAATTTCTGATGAAGCGACTTCATGAATTAATTGATCAATAAATTGTCAATGTAGAATAGCTATAAGAAAAATCTTTTTTGTTTTGAGATAACACAACTAAATTACGTGTTTTTTTTAGACATTGCCAGAATTGTCTCACATTTCCAAGCATACGAGATATTTTCTTGAAATGCGTTCCTATACAGTATCGATTATTATCAAATGAAGAGTTTTCTACTATACTAGGCCCATAAATCGATTTGTCGGGGATCAATGGTGCCACTAGAAATTTTTATATTGCATCTTTAGCCGAGCAAATTTATACTTAAATTTATAGATTTATAGACCTTCCAATTTTTTGTCGTGGATTATTAAAATAAGTGTCTTCTGTCATCGTATTCTCTTAAATTGACTTCTTGGGGATTGATGGTGTCACTAGAATTTTTTTTATTGAATCGTTTAGGAACCCAAGAAGTCTAACGTAATGAATGGTTCAACCTGTAATTTTATTGAAAAATTTGCATTCAGGGTTATCAAATGATGCCTTCTGTGAAGTCGTTAAAATTACTTCAGTGCTCTAAAGGATTGAGAAAGCGCACGCACTATACTTTTTTAACCGATTTGTACATTAGATGGTCAAGAGACGTGCTCTTTATTATTTTAAATGCGCGATTTGTGAACGGAAGTTGCAAATTTTTATTTTTTATATATAACTTTTACTCAAGTAAAGCGGTATTGAAAAATTGTTTATTACAATAATTTCAATACTTAAAAAATGAAATAAATTGTGGAACATGCGGGCTCAAAACATACTAATGAATTTTTAGTTTTATATTTTTAGTTAAGGCTGCAAAAATACGTTTTTATTAAAAATATGCCTACGAATTTATACAGTTATGATGGTGGTACAACTGGTAAACAACTTTATTTAACAACTATAAGCCTAATTTCAGTAAAAAATCTCTTTGAAAAACAAACAAAAGTTAAGTGTCACCCTGTATGTTTAAATATATGTTTTAGAATGTCAATTACAATCAATTACAATATAAATGCCTCATTGAAGGTCGTAGCAATTCCGCTTCTAAATTATAACAAAATGCATTTTCATTGTCAGTAGTATGCGATAACAACTAATATAAGCAGCGTATATTTAATATTGCAGCGAATATATCCCCTATGAATAATGTGTTCACAGCTCACAGCGGAACAAAATGATTGTATTAGAATAATAGCTGAAAATGAAAATATCAGTAATTATGAGTTGGAAGTAAATACTGGTTCTGTGAAAGGTGATGGCTACTTAGGGATTATATCAACCATAAATTTAATTAGTGAACGCAAAAATTTAAACATGATTCTAAAAATGGCGGAAACGAATGAAGAACTGCGAAATAAAATTGTAATTAGAAAGGCATACCTAAGAGAAATTTACGCTTACAACAGAATATTTTCGGAATTTGAAAATTTCCAGAGAAAACGAAATATGCAGAATGGTTTCAGTGCGTTCGCAAAAATATATGGTAGTTGCGAAGAGGACTGTAAAGAATTCTTAATTTTAGAAAATTTAAAGGAAGCCGGCTACAAATTGTGGAATCGCAAAGAACCTATGAACGCGGAGCATGTGGCGTTAGTATTTTCCGAGTATGGAAAATTCCATGCCGTGTCCTTAGCCATGAGAGATCAGGATACCAAAATGTTTGAAGAACTTACGAAAGATCTTAGGAGTATATTTGAAAATGCATATTCCAGAGAAAAATACGAGCGTGGAGTGAAAATTACATTAGAGAAAGGTTTTAAAGCAGTTAAAGGAGACAATGATGCTATAGAGGCTTTTCGAAGATTTTCTGATTCACTTAGAACTTTCTTATTGAAGCAATTTAAATCGCCCGATAATATAGTTTTCACTCATGGAGACTGCTGGTGCAATAATATGATGTTCAAATATGAGGTAAGTTTTAACTGAATTAAATATGTTTTTTTTTATGTAGAAAGAAACAAATAAAACATGAAGAATTTGTAAATCTACGATTTAAATTTATATTGGATATTTTCTCAACGTACGAGTATAATAAATATTGTCGATTTAAAAAATAATTTTATAATGCATATTTTATTTTATTTTATTTTGAATAAGAAACAAACAGCTTAGAAACAACCTAATTACATGTTTCTAGAAAAAAAAGAAATGTATATACATGCACATATCTAACTTACCTAATACAAAATAAAATACATAATAAAATTCAAAATAAAATTCAAAATAATCTGCAGCAAGGGAGCAGCCGGGCAAATAGAACCAGGACAATCAATTTCAAGTAAAATCTATATTATGGATAACTCTATTAAATGTTATTAGTGTAGTATTAAAAATGTCCATAGATATTCTATGTCTGTGTCTATTGAAAATATTACACATATCATTAATAAGAGTACTAGAACTAACATAAAAAGTTAATTGTGTTGGACGTATACGGTGGTCAGGTATATTTAAATTTATTTGTGACATAACCTCCATTCAGCACTTTATGTAAAAATTTTAATTTTCGTGTAATTTTCCTATTTTCTAACTTACAGATCTTAAAACTGTTTTCGCAATGGCTCATAGGAAGCAAATCCGGGACTAATATGATATTTTTTGTAAAAAAAGATACTTTATAAATTTGTTTTGAATTTTTTCAAGAGCATCCGTAAGATACTGTTTTGAAGAGTCCCAAATAATAGATCCATATTCCAAACGACTACGAATAAATGTAATATTAAATAAATATAAATTAGAATTAATATTTTTAAAATCAACTGTTACTCTTTTAATGAAACCCAAAAGTTTATATGAAGCATTAGTTAATTCATTCCCATAGTTTTTAAAACTCAAATTAGGTTGAAATTTAATTCCTAGATCTTTAAAGTCATAAATTCTAGACAAAATATTGTTATTCATTGTATAAACATAATGTTCAGGCGTACATGACTTTACATTTATTTTAATTGAAGGGCAATTTGTTTTCTACGGACCAGTCATAAATTACGTTTATATCATTTTGTAATTTTGAAAAATCATTGATATTACTGATTTCAGTAAAGAGTTTTAAATCATCTGCATACATGAGACAGTCGTATGTTAATCATTTATAAAAATTAAAAAAAGTAACTGTCTCAAATTCGAATCTTGTGGTACACCAGATCTAGCTAGATATGTTTCGGAATCAGTACTGTGATAACAAACAAATTGTTTTCGGTTCCGTAGATATGAAGAGAAGAAAATTAAATGGACACTTAAACCAAGTGCATGTAGTTTGGATAGTAGTATGTCATGATTTACCCGATCAAAGGTTTTAGCAAAATCCGTGTATACAGTGTCAACCTGTTTTTCCCATTGAAAGCAATATAAAATTTGTTAACAAAAGTAGCTAAATTAGTTTCTACTGACCTGCAACGGAAAAAACCATGTAAATCATATTATGTATATCTAGTATTTTTATATCCAACAGAAATGTGTTTGGCATACTTTAATTTCTCCATCAAACATCTCGGTTAAAACTAACATAAAACATTCAGGTTCCTTATGAAGATATGTATAACACATTGGAAATCAGAGTGTCATGCTACCTATCGTCCTCCCTACTATACCTATTGTGACCTTAGGTTTTCCAGGAGTTTTCTGTACTTCATTTATTACGTTGCAACATGCAACAGTGACGTTCATGTTGAATATAAAAGTGTGATACTATGATAATACTTTATTGTTCTTTCTACTATACCTTTGGCGAACTTTATCTCTGCTTCGGGATTTTAAACGAACATTCTCTACTTTATTACTTTACTTTTATAGGGTGCAGCAGTGATAGCGCAACGAACTATCAAATTACACAGGAAAGTACACAAAAAAAGTCCATACCGAAGAGACCTACATATCACTTCTAAAGTAGTCAAAATTCATGACTTCCCGATGAATTTCGGAGAAAAGTGAAAACGCCCAAATATAGGTCAGAACTAAATTTTCCTAAATTTTGTCCAAATATATAATTCTCGTTGTATCATTTAGTATATTAGTAATTATTATTAGTAAATTAGTAATTATTTTTTTAATTTTCAGGTATGTAAGAAAGTACTAATATTTGATTTTCTGAGAAGTATGGAGATTAGAGATAAACACTACTGGTAGCGTATTCAGCGCTTCAAAATACTGCGAACATGATATATTTGGACAAAATTTAGGAAAAATTCAGTTTCGACTCATATTTGGGCCAGTTTTCACCCAAATAGTGGATGTTTTGAGAAATATCGGGGTCATGATTAAATTTTACTAATGGCATCGTGTTAGCGATTCAAAATACTACGAAAATGATATATTTGGACACAACTTAGGAAAAAAATCAGTTTTGACCCATATTTGGGTCAATTTGGACCCAAATAGTGGAATTTTACTAATGGCATTGTGTTTAGCGCCCCAAAATACTACAAAAGTGATACCTATATTTGTACCTACAAAATTTAGGAAAAAATAAGGTGCTTTCATCCAAAAATTGCATTTCTCTTCGAAATTCATCGGGAAGTCATGAATTTTGACTACAAGATCGTGTTCAGCTAATTATTTATTCGGAAATGATATGTGGGTCTCTTGGGTTGGGTGTTTTTTTGTGCCTGTATTATCAAACTGCTATATTTGATTCCTTTAATAATAATAAAAAATAACAGTAACAATGCTGTTGTATTGCACGCAACAGTTACTAGCTAAAACATTGTGAAGTATTTAAAAATGACTCGATGGAAGAGCGATTTAGGGAAATTAAAACTAATTCTTTAGGTATGTAACTGCTTCTCAGCTAAAAATGAAACACTTTATTACATCGATCCGATAATTTACGTAACAAAAATAATCAACCTAGTATTTCCGTTGCCCAAGCAACCAGTAAGGGTTCTTTAGAAGATATACTTAATCCACCTCCTAATGTTTTAGTATCTCAAAGTAGCTCAAAGACAGTTTCATTATCGCCATCGTCAAGAAACTCCACAGGTGAACTAAGGCACAAAATATTCGAGTAACTTATCAAAAATGGTTTCATGGCAAACTTTTTGACCCTTGATTGCAGGAAAAGATTAGGTTTAACTTATAACAAATTAAATACCCACAAGGTTGTGATAGGTGAACTTGAGAAACCAATTAAGGGCCATACAACTGTAACTCTTTATTCCAATTTAAACCAAAATCTCCAATATTTGTTTGAAACTTGATAATTGACAAATTATTGAATTTTTTGTTTATTTAAAATATTTGCCAGTGACTAACTCTACGTTTAATATCCCTAGAACATAATATTAGGTAGCCATAAAATGACTGGAGACCAAAATAGTACAACCATTGTTCAATATACACTAGGATACGTAGTTTTAGGTCTTGTTGAACGTAGTAACAGTGCCGATTACAATCAATCAATTTGTGCTGTTTTCATTTTAGATTCTTTAGTTGAAAAAATGTTAATATCGAAAATTTTGCCTTATTCATTTCCAAAACCGATTGTGAATAATTACACAGTCACACACAAAAAAGTTGTCTGTACTTTTCATGCTACATATGTTATCCGTAGTATTTTTGCCTCTTGATGACGAATCCGCTGTCAGAATTAAGCTATCACATCACAAGAATTTCCTAACCTTAAAAAACATTTAAAATAGCAAAAATTCAAGAAAAAGTACTAGGAAAAATACAAAACATTTTTTTTCTATATTCAAATGTTCTTTTATATGGTTAAGACCCAGCAGAACGTGAATTAGAATTGATGGGTGTTTTTCTAATCTCAAAAAAAAAAACGCTACAATTAGGTAAGGTCAGATATCAGAAATTTTCAAAAAATATCGGATTCGAGCAAAATTTGGTATACAGGGGTTTTCGGGGTTGCTGATTACGAATTCGAGGTCAATTTTGCAAAATTCAAGATGGCGTATCCAAAATAGTACAACCATTGTTCAATATACACTAGGATACGTAGTTTTAGGTCTTGTTGAACGTAGTAACAGTGCCGATTACAATCAATCAATTTGTGCTGTTTTCATTTTAGATTCTTTAGTTGAAAAAATGTTAATATCGAAAATTTTGCCTTATTCATTTCCAAAACCGATTGTGAATAATTACACAGTCACACACAAAAAAGTTGTCTGTACTTTTCATGCTACATATGTTATCCGTAGTATTTTTGCCTCTTGATGACGAATCCGCTGTCAGAATTAAGCTATCACATCACAAGAATTTCCTAACCTTAAAAAACATTTAAAATAGCAAAAATTCAAGAAAAAGTACTAGGAAAAATACAAAACATTTTTTTTCTATATTCAAATGTTCTTTTATATGGTTAAGACCCAGCAGAACGTGAATTAGAATTGATGGGTGTTTTTCTAATCTCAAAAAAAAAACGCTACAATTAGGTAAGGTCAGATATCAGAAATTTTCAAAAAATATCGGATTCGAGCAAAATTTGGTATACAGGGGTTTTCGGGGTTGCTGATTACGAATTCGAGGTCAATTTTGCAAAATTCAAGATGGCGTATCCAAAATGGCCGATCAATTTTTTTAAAATAACATTCGCGCCAAATTTGGTATACGGGGATTTTTGGTGTCGCTGATTACGAATTCAGAATTGCGAGATTCATTTTGTAATATTTTTGTTTACTTTATAACCTGAGTACCCAATCAGGTTTTAACCTTCTTTTTTTCGGCTATATCTTATTCTTTTTTCTGTTAAAGATCTATTCACGGGTTTTCTGCCTAATCTCAGGTAATAAAGTACATAAGTAATTGATACATTTTTAAGAGCGAATTTTGTAAATCTGATCTCGGATTCGTAATTAGTGATCTCGAAAAAATTTTTTGTATTTTTCCTAGCAATTTTCGTAAATTTTTGCTATTTTTGACATGTTTTTTGAGGTTAGGAAATTACCGTGGTGTGATAGCTCAATTCTTATACCGGATTCGTGTTCAGGAGGGAAAAATACTACGGATGATATATGTCGTATGAAAAGTACAGACAACTTTTTTTGTGTGTGGCTGTGTTATTTAGTCAGTCTTAATAGCAAGTACAGATTTTACTGTTTCATTACCCTTTAAGAAAAGTCCATATAGCTTAGGTGACTCCATTTCTTTAGTCGGAAAAAATTATTTAATTTCGAAAAACAATTTGAAAAATTTTTCGGCCCTAGAGAAATGTATGGTTCCATATTTAGAGATTATCTCACATAACCATATGTTACTAGCACCAAATAAAAAAATTAATTATTCCGCTTCATACTTTATACCATATCATTGTATGAAAAAACGGAAAGTACGATATTTCTACTCCGTTTCGTATAGTGTTTGATGCAAGCATAAATGTCTTTACTGAATATTATTAAATAACATTCTATATACTGAGTAAAAATTCAAATAAACGTATGTACCGTTTTTTTTTTCATTTTCGTTTATATCCTATATGCTGATATTAAGCAATGTTGCAGACAAATAAGAAGTGGATCTTATTTGTGGGCGAAATAGGCGTTGACTATTAGACGCCTTCATTATAGCCGTCCTTGTCTATCACATGGATTTCTATGGCTTACTTTATCGCTCTCACGTAACTTCTGATATACCATCGGTACTTTCCTACACTGTATACGTTGTATGGTACGAGGTTGATGTTCCCGCTAAACGAAGGCAATGTTTATTTAGAAGGCGTTTACCGCGCAACTATTCTGTTGATTTCTGCGTATTAAACAAACAAACACAATACATTTTCAATATACAGGTTGGTCCGAATTTTATGCAGGAAACTTCGAGGGCAGATAGATCTTTTTAAAGTAGGTGTTTGCCTTATAAACATAGGTCTGCAACAGCCTCGTTTTAGAGATACAGGGTGTTGAAGTTGTTAAAAAATATATATTTTTTGTTTATATCTCCGGAATGCATCGGCCGATTTCAATAAAATTTAGTACAGATAATGTCTGATAGTAGGTGTTGTATTCTCTAAAATATGATCTAAAGATTCAACCAGTGGTGTACAACTGGACAGGGTCACTCACTTTTTTATAAAAAAAACCTACGGCACTGTATTTTTACAAGCTATTGTAACGAATTTGTATTCTAATGCACAAAATACCTAAAAAAGGTAACTTGAATTTTTTCCCTAAAGTTTACCGTTCTCAAGATATTCATACCAATTCAATCCCCTTGTGGTAGACACTTCTAATCATAATATTACAAGAATATTTATGTTTATGCTTAAAAGCAAGTGCAATTTGTAAGCACATCAACAAAATTCTTTACACTCATCGCTTTCATCTTTTTGGATTGAAACAATATTTGGAAAATCACGACAGAGGAATAAAAGGCACAGAAATGAAATTTTAAAAGCATTTGACGACGATCCTCGGCTAAGTAGGTACACGAAGGCAACTTGGGGTGAGTAAATCGAAAATTTGAAAAGTTCTACGTAAGAATGGCAGTAATCCGTACCATTTACAACCTGTGCAAAATTTACTTCTGGGAGATGCAGAGAGACGCCTGAATTTTTATCAGTGGTTGTTTGAATTCTTACTAGAAATACTTTGGACCGATGAGGCTACGTTCACAAGGCGAGGGGTAGTGAATTTTCACAGTCTGGATATTTGGCCACAAGAATATTCTCATGAAATTCGGAGTCCTTTCTAAACTTTCTAGAAAACCATCTATTTGAATTATTAGAGGATGTTCCATTAAATATACGACAAAATAGCTGGATACAAATGGATGGTGCTCTTGCGCATTTTAGGAGAATAATACAAGAATGGCTTAATGAAAATTATATGAGATGATGGATAGGTAGAAGACCAAATGCCAATATCAACCATAATGGTGCAGAGGGTCCAGTGTCTTGGTCAGCCAGATCTAAACTCCCTGGACTTCTATGTTTGAGGTGACCTACCTGAAAAGTTTACTCTACTCCAATAGATACTAGACCACAACTACTGCAGCGAATAGAAGACGAGTGTAATGAATTAAAAGAAAACCACCACATGATATTAGCTTCAATTAGTTCCATTAATAGAAGATATCAGAAATGTATCGATGTGGGTGGTTCGCATTTTAAACCATTGCTGTAAATACGTAACGTTAATTTTGTCTCTTGTTTAGTTGTTGTTGCTTGGTAAAATACATGCATTTTTATTATTATTTTGATTTAAATTGTTCTTATTTGTAAAGATAATGCCTCCAGGGAAAACTAAAACACACCAGGAACACTACCTCACAAGTGATGTGGAAAGAATTTTGTTGATGTGCTTACAAATTGCACTTACTTTTAAATAAATATTTTTGTAATATTATGATTTGAGGTGTCTGCCACAAGGGGATTGTATTTGTATGAATAACTTGAAAATGGTGAACCTTAGAGAAAAGTCACTTTTTTGCGTATTTAGTGCATTAGAATATAAATCCGTTACAATAACTTGTAAAAAATACAGTGGTGTAGGTTTTTTTTTATAAAAAGGGGTGACCCCTGTCCAGTTGTACACCACTGGTTAAACCTTTAGAGCACATATTTTAGGGAATGCAAGGCCTACTATCGTACATTATTTGTACCAAATTTTATTGAGATCAGTTAATAGATTCCTGAGATATAAAAAAAAAAATTAACAACTTCAACACTCTAAAATGAGGCCGTTCCAGACCTATGTTTATAAGGCAAACTCCTATTATTTTAAAGAGATCTATCTGTCCTCGAAGTTTCCTGCATAAAATTCGGACCACCCTGTAGAATTATACCTAAATTATAAAATTTATATAAAATTAAAAAATAATTTTAATTTACACAACCAAACGGAAATTTTAGGTGAAGCGGTGCGTCACTTGCGTCACCTGGCGAGCCGTCACTGATGAATTCTCGATCTTTGTGCATTCTTAGTAGTGATCTAAACGACCTCACCTTTTACTTTTACGTTTTATTTATGGAACTCCATTAAATTTATTTTCTTGAAAGGATCACTATCGAAAACGCTTGAGTTATTTGATCAGATATAAATTCTTATACAGGCTGTCTTACAGTGACGGCTCATTAGAATATTTCAAAGATTATTTCGATTTCAATTTTGAAAATTTAGCTTTTGAGTTTTCGGAGAGAGCACCTCTTTAAATAAAATAATGCCATTGTTGTAGCACCTCCGGTTATACCTCTGAATTTTAAATGGAACACCCAATATATTATAGCCTTATCGACAAGATAAACTAAAGATAAGTAAAAAATGTTAGAGCTTCCTTGTACCTAAATCTAACCGTTTTCGAGATAATCGACGTTCTATAAAAATGTTGACATGATGATTTCGAAAATTCCTTATATATTTCTTTGTTCTGGAAGCTTTCAGTTGCTTTTTAGAACACACAAAGAACATAAGATGCATTACCTTCCACTATCAAAATCACCTGAAGGAAATTATACTAACTATTTTTTATGTTACATTTTGAAAACTGTAACTTTAACATTCTTGACTTATTTTTAATTTATCTTGTCGATAATGTAATAATAATATATAGGGTATTTCATTTAAAATAAGCAAGTAGATGGCGACTTCAGGTATAACCGGAAGTGTTACAACATTATTTTATGCAAAGCATATTCAAAGCATTTGGGCCCCGAAGAGCTCCAGGGCCCAAATTCAAATCGAAATAGTCTCTGAAATATTCTAATGGGTCGTCATCGTAAGACAGCCTGTATAGTGCAACACTATTGGAAAATATGGCACGTAGAGTATTTACATACTCAACAGATGCGTGTACATTAGAATACTGTTTCTAATCCTGTAAAGGTAGATACTGTGGTGTTTACTGTGCAAAACAACATTCCGTTCCTAAAATGGCACTTAGTTATTATTCAAAACTTGCATCCTAGCAATTATGACACTGCATGAGTCGCAACAATAAAAACTATGTTGTTGGGCCCACCGTAAAATTATGTCCATTACCTACTCAGCGAATTGGTTAATTAGTATTAACATCACTGTATTCACATTGTGCACAATATTTTCATACAACTTAGTATAGTTAGTTACGTATAATTAAACTTAAAAGCCATTCCGCTCCAGGATGTTTCACCATTTTTTATTAGTTATTGCAATGTTAGTTGTTTATAAAGGTGAGACACAGAAAAGTACTGAACAAATTTAAATAAAATAACCACGCTTTAGATCGAAAAATAAAATCGAACCGGAAAGACAAAATAAATCGTGTTCTGGGGACTTTATGAACTGTCCTGCAATATTGAACTAACATCCTTCCTATCTTTTATCAAATAAAAGTTCTAGTAGTCGCCTATATCTTCACGATAGGGGTGAGTCACTTTTTCTATAGTTATTGTCTTTCCTTAATTAATAAGAAAGGCAGTCTGATCCAACTGGTTACATCTATTAATAAATTGAGAACTGTGAACATGTGAATATTATTCTCTCCTTTAAGTTTTTCCGTTAATTTATTATAATATATATTTTTTAATTTTCAGGATAACCAAAATCCCCATAAACCGACAAAAGTTTGTTTTCTTGAGTGGCAGTTATCAAAAATGGGATCTCCGGTTTTGGATTTGTCATATTTCTTTTTTGTTTGCAGTTCAAAAGAGATGTTTTATGATTATAAAAGTTATCTTAAAATATACTATGAAACTCTTTCGGAAAATCTAAGAAAGTTATCCTGCGATCCCGAAAACATATTTCCTTATATGTTACTGGAACGACATTGGAAAACATATGCAAAGTTTGGGCTCTACATGGGTCTTATTGTAATAACGCTGATGTTAAGCGAAGTAGAGGAAGCTCCGATAGTTAAGGATGTAGTGAAAAACGGTGAAACTATTTTCGATATCTTTAATTATGAAGGTATTCATGTAAACGAGTTCAATAAAAGAATTTTGAATATTGTAACTTTTATGGCAGAACATGAATTGATTTGAGTATAGTAGAGTAGATAATAGACAAAACCATAAATTTCGTACACCAGATGTATCTTTTGTACCTGTATCTTTTTCATAGCGTGCGTAAAAAAAATCAGGAATATCAGAAATGTTACTAGTTTGCTTTGTAAAGCGGTATCCAATTTTATTAACGGTTGGAAGTAACAAGGTGTGAAATTAATTATATTTGGAGGCAATTCAGAGAACAAATAGGTATATACTTTTTTGTTGTTTTTAAAAAATTCAGTTGCGTTTTATGTCACTGAATATAAATTGAATTGTATGCTATATTCTAAATTCTTAGGCGTTTTAACGCAAAAATTACTTCTTTGTTCATTACGCTAATTGCTGTAATTTTGAGTTATAGGGATTGAAAAGTAATTATGGCATGCGGGCATACTAATTGTAGTATGCCCGCAATGTATTGACACTGTAAAAAAATTGGAAGCAATAAAAAGATTAAAAACTTATTTGTTCGTTTCCGAGTTAATGCTAAAAATAATTTTATTTAACTTCAACGTCTTGTAATTTCTAGACTAGCGAGACAGGGGTTTATACGCACATTCGCAACATTTTTGATGCTGTATCTCTATCTATTTTGCAGAGGCAATGAATTGTCTTTTATAATTAACGAAATTTCTGTGCTAATAAAATATTTATTTTAGTAGTTACTATGTTATATTATCATATATTAATTATTTAAGTTATTTAATACTTATATGTTATAGTGTTATATTACTTTTGTTTTTATGGACCTACTTTGATGTTAATATTTATCTCTCTAATTACTTTGTATTTATTTTACTTTCTAAAAAGCCACTTTCTTAGTCTTAGTTGTCTGTTAATAAATTACTTGGTTACTTAAATATTATGAATATTATGAAGAGATATTAAAATATTTTTTACCCCAAGTTTTTCAGAATGCATTTTATCAAGCATAATCATTCAGTATTACTGTCAAAGTAACTCACTTGTAGCACAGACAAAATAGCTATCGCCACAGACCGCTACTGGAATAGGCCAGCAGTTTTAAATTACCGAATTGCCGATAGAGTACACCACCAGCAAAATTTTAGGAAGAATCAAATGCAGCGGCCCGAATTGCTACGCGTATCCTAGCAACATATAAACAGCGCTTTAGTAATGTTGCCAGACGTACTTACGGATTTCTTTTGTACACTTCTTTATCAATATCTGTTTTTTGCGTTACTGTATTTACTTAAATGTATAATGTAGGTATTGATAAAAATGTGTTTAAAGAATCAATGAATATCTATGTAGTTTCATATGATATTCTGCAGCAGTCTCAAAGTTAGGTTATTTAATAATAATTTCATTAATTAGCTACTATTTTCATTTTTTGGTATTGAAATATTACAGAAAATATATTTCCAAATAAACAAAATTCGTAATGATATTTTAAACAGCTTGTAATAAGTATAATTTTTTTAATATTTGATGATGATGATAAATCTATTTCATATCGGTGGGTTATTAGCCCGTCGCGCGTCGGGGAATGGTACAGTTTTTTTTGTATTCTGACATCCACTTATAGATTTAATAATTAAAGATAGAAAAAAACTTAAACTACAACTTAAACTACAAATGTACGATTTTTCTTTTATTTCTTTTGACATCAAAATTTTCTGGCATAAAATATATGTTTAAAGTAAAAAAATCATTAAAAAAATTAAAATTCAGCCTTATTGAAAAAACAAACAACGATTTTTATAACTAACCTTTACAACAACATCAGGAGAATACCTAAAAACGAAATAACATTAAATTACCTACAATTTTTACAAATCAATATGCAACTAGTTGAAAATATGCTTTAATTTATTATTTACTGCTTAAAAAACAAATTCAGAATGATTAAACATTGCGTTCGAACATTTCAAAAAATAATTAAAAAAATCTCCCCCCACCCTTGGTTCTGATTGTCCGTTCTGCGGTGAATGGAAAAGGTCCAAACTCCGTATGTCGAAAAACAAAAAAGTTTGTCAAAATTTGCAACAGCAGTAGCGAACGCATCATCTTATCTCTGTAAGGGATAATTGATTGATGATTTGTTGCTTTTTTTTAAATAAATTCCGTATTCAACTACTCCTCAAGGTTCCAGCCATGTAACATTGTGTTAATGTTTTGAACACCTTGTGTCACAAATATGAGCACTACCAATGGCATCCATGATCATGATATGCAACACTTATGTCAATAATTATTTTACCTCTAAAGAAATCAACAAGAAGACCCATCTAAGGATACCCAATCTGTATAATACAATTTTTTTAAATATAGGCGTATTTATCGTACCAAACTGGAAGTCGACGCACAAATCTAAAAACATTAATTTCAAGTTTTTGAATTCTCCCATACCAAGCTGATATAAAATAAATAATTAATTAGGTAAATTCATAGGTTTAATTCCAACTTGATTTATTTTATTTAGCATTTATCACAAATGTGATTTCCAAACAAAAGATAAGTTCCATATCTCTTTAATTACATAATTGAATGCATCGAATTTATATGGCAGTTATCATTTGGCAATAAAGCCACCGCTAGAACTACCGCCTATTACCAAGTAGAAGAGTTATCACGCTAAATTTTATAGCTGGAAGCCGGCTAAGGAGACCTTGCTTCCATTTTAGGCTGCCAATTTCCATCATTTAACAAGCAGTCTGTGGCGATAAGCTATATTGTCTGTGCTTGTAGTATTAATATATTCTAGTACATAAGTATATTTCCTTCTAGATGAAGCGTTGTTTGTATAGAAAAATATTCTTACACTGAAAGAAATGGGCTTATTAAATTGTTTATCTAGAATAATGTGTATAGCGCATATTTAAACTTTTATATCCAATATACAACTTTTATTAAAAAAAAGCAATCATCTCCATACTCATTATTCAATCAGTTTAACTGGAAGGTGCTTAATACACCTTATGCATCTATGAAATAAAGGTTATAATGAATTACTTATACATTATTAGGTGTTATAGANTATTATTTCGTAAAGGGTATAAAAAACGTTGTATACTAGTTATACAATAATTTAATAAAGAATAAGGTTTATAGTCACTATACAACTGTGCTAGCAATACGCGTTTTATATCCAATATTCACCTGTTTAACTGTCACATATAGTATACAATGGTCTTATAATGGTATATAGAATTCTAATAAAGAATAAAACGCATTTCTTTCAGTGTAAATTAAAAAATATTGATAGCGATATATTATATAAGTATACTGTTAAAAATAATATATTATACACTTTAAGACATATTACATAAGATATTATATTTTCCATGATCGAAAAATAATAGCAAAAATGTATAATTTTTGCCCCTGCTAAGAGGAAAAAAGTAAAACTTTTTTGCCGTCACAGAAAAGTCGTAAATTATGCAATAGAAAAAAGTTATAGATTTTGTACCCTCTGTATAATGTTAAAAAAAAATGAAGTCGTAGAGAAAAGAAACTGATTTGCAATTAATAACACTTAACCTAATATATGCGTTTATATTTGAACGCAATTTCTTTATATTTACGTTTTCATACACTTTTAGCTTATATGAATACATATTCGCAAAGCCACTGAATATATGTAAATAAATATAAACTTGACATGATTATAAATTACTGGTAAATTATCTGATACTTTTAAATCTTCAAAAAATTATGTTATGATATGTGTTATAATATGGTGTAATAAATAAATAAAACGTGAACATTTACAAATTGTGGTTTTCTTTATAGTTAGTATGAAATTTTTTTTAAATAAATGTCAGTGCTGCCGAAATAATTTTTGCTTGCAACACGGCTAAGTAAGAAATATAGCTTTTACGTATATAGCTCGTTAAGGTCATTACTATTATTAGTATTAGTTCATTTTCAGACATTTTTGTTTGAAATATGTACGATTGTAGTAAAATAAATCTGTATTAAAGAATAGAGAAAACGTCGCCTGCATTTTTCTTTTATTTTGTCAAATTATCATTAGAAAACTTTATCTGTAGACCATTAACGGCAATTCAAATTTGATAGATTTAAGTGTAGGGATACAAAACAATTAACAATGTAGCGTGGAATAGTAATGAGTATTATGTGAATTTATGAATATTCTCATTAATACACAATAACCTTTAAAAAATTTGGACTCACAGGGAGAGTAAAAATTTTGTTCCCAATATTTTAATATGTTTCACAAGGATTTATATTAAATACTTATATGCTTCTTTGTTAAGATTAGGAATACCCGAGGGAAGACCCTATAACTCTAAGTAGCAAAAACATTTAACAATACACACAAGCATAGCCTTCTTTTATTCGTGATATAAAATATTTCATACAGGGTATTGATTGAGTATTCGGTATTGATAGTATAAGAAATATTTAAAAAGTTAAAACCTTTTACGGGAGTGGTAATGGTAGATTATCCTTTGCCCGAACGACTTATTTATGGGCACCATTCCCATGAAAGGATGTTTTGTTAAAGATGCAAGGTTTTAAACATTTATAGTTCAGCTAAATTATGTTGAACTTACGATATCGTTATCGGAACTGTATGCCATGACATCTAACTATTTTGCTAAAAATAATAAATAAAAATAATAATAAAAATAAATAAAATAATAATAAAAATAAATAAAATAATAATATNTATTATTATTATTATTATTATTATTATTATTATTATTATTATTATTACTCGTATTATAATTTAGAATTTTAACAGTGGTTAAAATTTCTAACTTTGAAATTATATCGATTTTGCATTTTGCAAGATTTACTTTAGGAAAACTTTTAAAACCTCATTCCCCTAATTGAGCGATGAATAAACGTCTACTTTCACTCTCACACACTAATCCGAACCAACATTCACTCACGGTCTCATCAACGAAAGTTTAAGGACTGTTGCCTTAAACCTCCAATAAGTTACCGCTCCATATATGTGGCAGGAATTTAACAAATTAACGTAGTACCAAAATTTACCAAAACATGCATTTTTATTAAATAAATTGCAACTACTGAAATCATTCTTTATTTATACACCGATCTCATAAAAACGATTCTAACATTTTTATTGAAATAAGTTTAAAAGTAGAATTTTGGAAAAGTTGAAAACAACCATATTATCCTGGTTATTACCTCACGATTTCTAAAACAATCTCATTTATGTAAATTTTAGATAGCAAGAGTGCCTAATTATTAATTCCGACATTAATAAAACTGTGTTAGGCTTCGAGATATACCTAGCACTTTTTATAAATTCTTGAAAATTACTACCATCTGAGAATGTCTCCTGCGCCAGGACCCCAAAACTAGATATTTCGTGTGTTCTTAGCTAAATATTGATAAGCAATCTTGCTGTCGGAACCAATAAAAAGATCTATTTTGTTACGACTATCTCGCAATTACAAATTATAAAATGGTACAATGCTTGTAATTTCCCATTTAAGAAAAAAAATTGATATTATTATACAAAAAGAGCTCTTTTTGACTTTACTCCGAAAATATTACATTTCAGTGAAAATGTTTTGTACTGTTTTTTTTTGGCACGTAAACAGAAGTTCATTGTTTCTCGACTGGCATTTATTGTAACTTGAGTAATCTAGTGTTAACAAACTTGTCATATCTACTAACCATCCAATCCAACACTACAAATTATTATCATGAAAACTAACTTTTACTAAGGTCAAATTTAGTGATACCGGTTAATTATAGGTTAGTCTGTCACTTCTTGCTATCTTGATGTTATTGAAATGATTCTCTGGGCTGTACGAAATGTTACGAATAGTTTTCACGATCAGTAAATTGAAATGATTTTCGACAAGGAAGGCCTTCGACTTAAACAGATGAC